GAATGAATTGTTGAACACATTCAAAGCATTTGGGGGCATTCCTGTCAAGTGAGATGGAGCAAGGGTGTAAAATCTAACAGAGTGGCCACATACAATAGGCATTGTTTACAGTAACACAGCGGTCTTTGTTCCTCCACAGTCTGAGGAAATGCTAAAAGTCAAATCTAAAACGGCTCTCTCTCTTTTTTTTCCCCCCCTGCCTCCTGTGACCACTAACTTCAGGAGACTAAAGGACCAAAGAAAGCTTTTAACCCATTTTTCAGTCTAAATAAAACAGCATAAAGAAATTCATCTCTAACAAACACGAGGAAGGAACTTTAAGTGTATTTGAGTGTGAACGTTTTACAGACTAATTATAAACAAAGAGGGCGACTGTTTTCCTGCTCTGACCTTTTCTGTGGAGAGGTCCGTCTCGCTGTCGTGTTTCCTCTGAGTGAAGACAATGGTGAAAACAGCATGGGACCTGCTGCTTGTCTCGTTCATGTTGGTGGCAGCCACAGTTCTGGAGTTTAGCACATATGGGCACAGTTAGGAAATAAACAGTATGATTTCTGAGCACCTTAATAACCACACAATATTCTTTTAAAGGAAAATTAATTCCTAATTCTTAGTCTTGGCTATTACTAGCGCTATCATCGGTGGGTTTTACACCTATTAGAGTGAAGTAAGTCTAAAGGATTACTTTGTGCGGCGGAGGTGGATAATAACGCGAGGACGCCAAACACAAATACATGAGGAGTGCTTAGAGGGATAGTCACAGGGGAGATATGGGCTTTACGTGGCATGTTCTAGAAATAAGCCTTCTAAGTCAGCACAGTGAGATTATGGCAGGGTTCACTCCTCCTCACATGAGCCCTCGTGCACGCGCACATTTCATTGAAAAATACTCATTACCTGCCAGGTCAAGCTAGACATGCGGTTATATTTAAAAATATAAAAATAAAAAATTAAGACGGTAACACAGTGAAGGCTGAGCTGTCTTGCCGTTTAACAATTCAACCCTTGCAAATGAGTCATACAAGAACATTTCCTCAATCAAAGCTAATTTTTTATCTTTTATCAACCTGACTGACCGTTGATCATCAGATCACCACAGCTGTCGCCACAACTTTAGCCCCTCCCGCTCCTTCCTGTGATCTCAGCATGATCTCAGGGCTTAGCTCACCTGGCCTTGTTGCCTGCATCCATCAGGTCAGCGATGTCTGTGTAGGAGGTGACAGCTAGCTTGGACAGATCCTCTACATAGGGACCCAACAGCGGGTGTTCTCGGACTCGTAGGTTCCCTTTGTTCTTGGGGTTGAGCAAATCTCGGACGCGCTCGCAGTAGATCTCCATGTAACTGACCTGGAAACAATTTCAGAAGTACAGAGAGTAATTTCAGGTGCTCCAGGTTGAATATATTAAGCTAATATTGTGCAGCTCTGTACAAAGAATATATATTAATGTCACTATTGATATATATAGGAGGAGGTATTTGCATGCGTATATTAAGGTCAGAGAACATAAGATATATTTTATTTATCCCAGATTTGGGAAATTATCCGGATCACAATCGCACCTCAACTTCACAGTCACACTTTTGTTTTCCCAATTTTACTGGCAGAGATTTGCAAAGAAAACCATGCAGTATGTGACTGAAGTCTGGGAAATGCTCAGGAAAGAGCAGCGAACACAAAAAGTTGGGGGCAGAGGTGAACCATGAGGACTACAAATACCAAAGAAGAATGATACGCACCTCTACTGAGTAGGAGAGCTCCTCTTTGTTGCCGTCCTCATTGATCTTCTCAAACAGATCTTCACACAGCTGAGTGGCAAAGAAAAAAAAGCATTTTAGTTCAAATGACGGCATCCGCAGATATAAAAGAGGCGATAAATAGGTGTGAGATCTGTGGGCTTCTTATAAAGCAAACATTTAAATAGTTATAGCCTGAAAACCTAAAATTGTAAACTTTGGCCAAATGTCATTCACTTTCCACACCGCTCTAAATTGCTTTCAGTGTGGTTGCAGCTTAAAGGACTTAAAGTTGTTTCAGTTCTTCTATTTTAGACTGTTTAAATGTTCTGAAAGGTGAATTTAGAAACTTTCTATCCATTAGATCTGACAATCTGATCAAAGGAGGGGAAAGAGCCAGATCAAAGCTTTGGGAGAGGACATCTTTGTAATTACATACATTATTTAAGTGTATAAAAAAATCTGTTATGCATATATTTTTCAGGCTTTTCATCATAAACAAGGCACTACGTGTAATACTTCCAGAGCTCTGATGGTCTAAGATGTGTACAGAATTATGACAACAATAATTAGCAGATTAAATGGTTGTACTATACATTCAAGGCTCTAAATGAGCAGGAATAGTAAACAGACTACAAGACAAGGGATTGCATTATTTGTCTTAGTCTCTGCAGTGCAGTGAATGGTGAATGAGGTTTTGTTGAACAAACCATGGGAATGATTCCTTCCTGCCCCTCCTCCTGCTTGCCCATCATGGTGTAGGATTTGCCAGCTCCTGTCTGGCCATAAGCGAAGATGCAGACGTTATAACCCTCAAAAGCATGCTGCAGCATTTCCTTTCCAATGTCATTGTACACAAGGTTCTGTGAGGCAAAGCAGGGGTCATCGGGCTGCAATAAAAGAGAAAAATATATTTAAATATATGTAGCATCACAATAAGATTTGCATATTTTCTTTGCTTTTAGTGATTAGAGTTAAAACTCACAGAGGTATGAGACCAATAGGAGTAATCAAAACTGAAGGTCTTTGCTGGTTCCTTTGGGGCTTTAGGGTTGAGGATAGCTGTGGAGGAGGAACAAAATTAGTAATGGGGTTGATATTTTCTAGATTGAGTTGAAGTGACACAAAAACTACTCGCATGTTCTGTTATTTTAAAAAGCTGCCTTTAGTTAGTTTGTGATGTCTTCTACAGAATTCTTTAGTTGTGTTTCTTCAACCAAAAGCAGCTTCTGTGCTCAATAATATATATAACCATGCATTCCTCATGTTTTCCCTTCATGTCTTTCCTACATTTCTTTTTAAAGTAAATAAATAAACAAAGACTGTAAATTTAAATTGGAGTTACTAAATAGACCCAAATGAGAAGATATATATATGTGATCCTGGTTGGCAAATAGCAGCTACCTCAAGTTCCTGTTCCTCAATTAGAGAGATATTTCTGGCAATGCAAGTCACATGAAACAGTGGCAGACTACGAGATGCTGGCTTCTTCTTTTTTTTGAGAACTGCAACTGTTGCAGCAAGCTCTGCCACATATGGTTTATCCTTAACCAGTGTTTTAATCATCATCATTAAGATTGATATCATTACAAAATGACAGAGTTTGAATGAAAAACACCAGCCTACTTCAATCACACCACTTCACCTGCTCTCGCTCAACACTACTCAGCCATTCCCCGTCGCCACATGGACAGTTTTTAATGAACAGAAATCTGCTGCCATGCCTGGCATGTCACACTCCTCAACCATGCTGGTTGGTACTGCCGGTGACAAGTGCACTAGATTTCACACTGGATATGTGACAGGCAGAAAGCGGGATGTTAATTTACTATAAGATAACCACAGAAATCACTCCTCTTAGACAAAATAAACTTTAGGGATTAGAGTTGTTTTGTGCCATGGCTGCAGCAAGACACTTTGCTCAGGCCAGGCAGACAAATGCATACCACCACCTTTAGAAGTGAGGAGGAAGTGGGAGAGGAAGGAGTGAGAAAGAGGCTAGTGAAAGAAGGGTTTGGAGAGACTAAAATAATGTGAGTGCTCAAGGCCCTAGCAACAGTCCAAACAGATCAACAACAGAAACCGAAGGCAGGACAAAAGGGAAAAAACTATCTGCGCCTTAGTAGGAATGCTACAGTCTGTGAGCGTAAGTATTTAGAGCATTTTCAATCTTTCCAGGGAAGTCTGCAGAAGCAGTCACAAAGGAATAATTAGCGTTGTGTGATGCCCTGTGCTAATGGGCAAAAAAAAAAGCCAGGTTTGGCTCCTCAACATGACGGTGCTTGAGAGGCTTTTGCATCAAGATGTCGCCAGCAGAGTGCCTTGTGCGCTCAGAGGATTTCAGCGCGCTTATCAATAATGCAGGAGATCTGGAGAGACGGGGATAGCATATCGTCCTCCATGGGTCACAGGCTGACAGAAAAGCACAGCATGTCCTCAGAAACCAGAACACTAACTGGTTCATGCTAAATCTATGATGATTAAAGCAGCAGCTATTTCACTGAAGCTCATATAGATTCATGCAAAAATAATCCATTTGACTGTG